TTCCTTGGGCATCCATCAAAGCGTCATTGATCTTCTGTGCGAAGGGGGGCTGATGGATTGTGTTCCTGAAGGAGGCACGGGTTGTTTACGAGGACGGGCAGAAAGCGCACGGATGTTGGCCAGGGCCAGAAGCCGGAGTAAATATTGTCGGCTGTGCTTTTGGTAGAAGGAAAGGAAAGGAAACGCGTGTATTTCGGGGGGGGGGGCGGAGGAACGCAGTTGCTGTCTTTGCAGCAATGTTAATATCACGCTAGTGTTCCCCTGATGACCCTGCGGCCTAGAAGGGGATGCAGCCCCGGTTTCAGGGTCCAAGCAACGGGCTTGTGGTTAAAAGCACCGGCCTGAGAGACAGGAGATGAAGGTACCGTTCCCTGCCTGTCAAAGAGGGATAACAGCTCTGCCGTTCTCCAGCAACTGTTTCTTGCTACGTATCCATGCAGTACCCAGCACCACAGAGCCGTCCTCTCGCCATACAAATAAGTTCTCTTTCCACGCCAGGAGCAGAAGACCCCGCCAGGGGTGGGACCAGATGTGTGGGGAAGCCCATTAGCCAGGATGGGTAAGGAATGGTGTCCCTAGCCTCTGTTTGTCAGAGGGAGGAGATGGATGGCAGGAGAGAGATCACTGTTAGAAGCAACAGAGGGTCTTGTGGCACCTTTCAGACTAACACGGCTACCCCTCGGATACTTGATCACTGTTAGGTTCACTCCCTCTGGGGCACCTGGCATTGGCCACTGTCGGTAGACAGGATACTGGGCTGGATGGACCTTTGGTCTGACCCAGTACGGCCGTTCTTATGGCTCAATGAACCGGGGGCTTTGTTTTCCTCTTGCCCCCTGGTTCTGGGGCCCTGCAGGGTGGGGATGGGGAACCATTAGCACGCGACCTGGAATTAAATTAACACGGGAGCCTGGAAAACCCCAACAGGTCTTTGCCTGAACTTTCAAAGGCAAAAGCCAGCTCCTCCGCTGCCATCGGTCGTGGAAGCCCCACTGAAGGCAACAAGGCTACGCCGATTTCCAGCCGCTGAGAATCTGGCCCGGCCATCTCGTCTGTTCCCAGGACAGGGCTGGTCATTCCAGGTCACGGCTAAGCTGCCTTGGAAGAGATCACACAAATAGGAAGCAGCGGGGGCGGTTGGAAATTAAAATGCAGCAATCATGTAGCAGGGGGGCTCCAATCTCTTTTTTTCCAGGCTTATGAGGAGAAGCCTGCTGCTTCCCTCCCCCGACACCTACTGGCAGGGCATTTGCAGCCCCGTGGAGGGATTCAAGGCCCTGTGACAGGCGGCTCGCTAAGGAGGGCCGTGATGTTCGCGCGGCCATAAATGGCACCAGGGAACCCACTGGAGGCTGATTCAAACTGTGAAATATTCCCTGTGCTAGTGGCCGGGGCGCATTTTCGGTTATAGAATTGGCTGTTCCTTTTACGGCGGGGGGGTGCGTGCGTGTGTGTGTTTGTTCTCCCCTTGCTGCTGGAGATTAGCAGCATAAATCCTTTTACGGCCCCGTGCGCAAACCCGCCGGCTGCCGGTTATTGGAACGAGCGTCTGTTTCGGGTGCGCTTGTCACTGCCGGTCGCCGGGAGGAAACGCAGAGAGCGCTGGGGCCAGTGGAGTGGGCCGTCCCGCTGGGAGCGGATCTCTGAGTTTGAGGGAGGAGGTCTCAGGGCGGAGAGCAGAACTGGGGCCTCCTGGCGTGCCGAACAGGTGTTTTTTGTTACCTGTGTGCATCGAGCATAACGCAAGGGGTTGGTGGCAGAGTCTCCTCTTGCACTGGGATAAATCAGAAGTGACGTGTAAATCAACGGGGTTAAACTGGTGCAAGTAAGAGGAGGATCGGGGCGGGGAGGGGGAGGATGTTGACTCCCTGGGTTGTAAAGCAACCTGGACTCAGTCGCTGACCGTGGCCAGGTCACTGCCTCCTCCGTTGCCTCAGTTGCTGCATCTGTACAATGGGGATACACGAGGCTATGCAAAGTGCTTGGAGATCCTCCGGCCAGGTGCACGGTGATGTTGAGCCGCAGGTGTGTATCGCCCTGCAGGGAGTGTGCGTGTCAGACCCCAACAGGCACCTGTTCACTACCTTCTCAAAGCAATGAACGTCCAGATGATTGTCTCAGCTAAATTCTTTCTCCCCACCCACCCACTCCCCGTCCCAATCTGTGCAAGCCCTGCTGGAAGCTGATGAGGTAGATTCCAGGGAAACAGTCCTCCATCGCTCTCCTCCCTTGCCCCGGAAAAACCCAGCTGCTCAGCACCCCCTAAACCCAGGCGTCAGCATCTTAGCAAATTAGCACCTCCAGACGAGAACAGGGTTCACTCGGTGCCGGGCTTTGGCTTGCTGTGCCAGTGCACTCCTCGTTTTAATAGTTTAATAAAAATTAGCATAATTAACAAACATCTGTATGATCCAGAGTGGTGCAATTTGGCACTCGGAAACGAGGACTTAAACATTATTGCCGGGAGTTTAATGTTGTTTTAATTCTTCTTGGCACGGTGCAGTGGAATAAACGTTTGGTGCCGATAGTTCTCGACTGGCTCTCATTTGCATTTTCCTCCCTTTGATTATGAGCAATTGCCAGCGCCCCGGCAATTCATCAAAGCCGAAATGATTTGAAAATACCTCGTGGTGTTCGGGCTGCGGTGGGCAGAGGAGGGCTGGATTGCTCCATTCATGCGTTGGACGGCTCGCTGACCCACCGCCCACCCCTTCCAGCCAAAGGTCTCCTGGGTGGGTTAGTTTCCTCCTGCTGCGAGTGCAGATCCCGTTCATTTCCGCACTAAGGCAGCTACTCGTGCAAAGCTTTCTTTGCTCCTCTTTTGCTGCGGGATTTTCCTTCCTGTTTCGAGAGGGTTGCAATGCGGCCGGGGGGGGCGGGTCTTTCATCACTCTGGGACCCGGCAGCCTGGCAGGTCTGCTTGGCTCAAAGATTCTGCAGCGTCTGCTGCCACACGGCGCCCTGGTGAGCGCATCGCTTGCTGAAGGCAGCCACCCTGACAGGTGTTTGCTCCTGTCTTGCACTCGCAGCTGGGAAGCAGCGTGGTCCGTGGGTTAGCCTGGGGTTGGGGAGGCCGGACTCTGGCTCCACTGAGAGCATCATCTGGCGGGAGGGCTGGGTTCGGTCTCTCATCGTGTGGCCCTACCCCCAACCGTGGCGCTTCTGTGCCTCCGTTTCCCCATCTGTAAAATAGAGACTTAATTCATGCTGTGCAGAGGATCAGCACCAGGGCGTCAGCACCCCAGCCAACCTCTAGCCAACAGGTTTAGGAGGAAACGTTCCATGTGAAAATTTATCCCACGTGGAAACAACCTGCTGCTGCACCTTCCTTTGAAACAGCTGGGGCTGGTGGCTGTCGGTGAAAGCACACCGGAGATGCTGGGCCATGGGTGTGATCCGGGGGGGGGGGGGGCATTCCTCTGCGTCTATGCACTGCTTATATCCTGCCGACGCCCTGAAAATAGGCCCTACTTGGAATTTAGGGGTTTCCTAGACCTTCTGCTCAGAGGCGCTGACTTTCTGATTTGCCGCAGGGGGAGCTTGACCCCTGCTCCACCCGTAGCCCCCAAGGCCCCACCTCTGCCCCCTCCCCCGAGCGCCCTCTGCCCTCGCTCCGCCCCCTCTCCCCCCGCGCCTCCTGCATGCCGCTGAACAGATGATCCTCGGCTAGGGTGACCAGACAGCAAATGTGAAAAATCGGGACAGGGGTGGGGGGTAATAGGAACCTATATAAGAAAAAGACCCAAAAATCGGGACTGTCCCTATAAAATCGGGACATCTGGTCACCCTATCCTCGGCAGGCAGGAGGTGCTGGAGGAAGGGGGAGCAGCTGATCAACTATTTTTTAGAGCACCCACGGAGTCCGCGCCTATGCTTGTGCTGTCCCTCTGTACAAGGGCGAGTGTCACCCTCCTGTCTGCAAAGTGCTGGGAGCTGCTTGCCTGGAGAGCCCGACCTCACTGAATGGCATTCTAAGGCTTGGTCTACACTAAACCCCCAAATCGAACTAAGGTACGCAACTTCAGCTACGTGAATAACGTAGCTGAAGTCGAAGTACCTTAGTTCGAACTTACTGCGGTCCAGACCCGGCAGACAGGCTCCCCCGTCGACTCCGCGTACTCCTCGCGGCGAGCAGGATTACCGGAGTCGACGGGGAGCACTTCTGAGTTCGATTTATCGCGTCCAGACTAGACGCGATAAATCGAACCCAGAAGTTCGATTGCCTGCCGCCGAACCAGCGCGGTAAGTATAGACAAGCCCTTAGTTTCTTCTTGATTTATTTCATGCTTCAGGGCTCCAGCCGCTCGCCTGTTGGGGTCAGGAAGGATCGCCTCCTTCCCCATCTATTTTTTGGGAGAGTGGTTCTGTCTCCTTCCTCTGAAGCATCACAGATTGCCCACAGCTGGAGGTGGGACACTGGAGGGGTGGGCCGGGATTCTGGGTTGGCGTTCCCTCTCTCAGGTGCTTGGGTGGTGGGTCTTGCTTGCATGCTCAGGGTCTAACTGATCACCATAGGTGGGGCTGGGAAGAAATTTCCCCCCAGGTCAGAGTGGTAGGGATCTTGTGGGAAGAGAGGGGGTTGCCTTCCTCTGCAGCGTATGGGTGTGGGTCACTTGCCAGGATCATGTGGGCATGGTTCACTAATTGGTGCTCTACCAACGCATTGATGGCACCTCGGTCTCTCCTGTTCTCTGCCTGTGGCACGCGAGAATTTGGGCTCCTGAGGACTTGTAATACTTTGGTCTAATTCTGGCTACTGGCCTTAGTCGGTGATACCTGTGTAAATTTGGCTGGAAGTGATTTGCCCAGGGAATCTGTGGCAGTCAGGAATGGAACCCAGGGGGCCTGTCTAGTGATTTAACAGTAACTCCCATCCTCTCTATCTAAGATCCTAGAATCGTAGGACTTCGAAGGGACCTCGAGACGTCTTCTCAAGGCAGGACTAAGTTATCTAGTCCAGGATGTCCAAGGTTGGGCCCTTTCTTGCTTTGTTTTCTCAGGAGTACAACATGTATGGCTGGTGGATCGGCGAACTGAACAGCGAGGTGGGGATCGTCCCAAAGGAATACCTCACAGCCGCCTACGAACTGGAGGGAAGATGATCCAATGGGTAAGAGGCACAGCCGCTGCTTGGTGATTAACTCTTCACGCTTCTTCAGAGATGGCGCGCACACACACCCCCTCGCTGATAACAAAACTGTCTTGCCAGGAGGTCTGAGATGTCTCGGCTGGGGCTGGGACAGTCCCGGGGTATGTTTTTAAGCTTTTGTGAAGATGGACATGGAGAAACCTGGGAGGGTTTTGCCTTTGGCTCCATCTTCTGGTCTTCACCTTACACCGGAGCAAAGGAGGCAGGGAGGTGGGAGGAATTAGCCGTTGACGTTCAAGGCGTGAGGGCGGCAGGTTAAATCCCAGGACTGGGGAATCAAGGGTTCTGCATTCCCCTCCCAGCTTTTCTGTGACCCTGGGCAGGCGTCTGAAGTGAGTCCAGCTGTGACCATGAGCCAGGGGCTTTGCAATGGAAATGTCCCTGACTTGGAGATCCCTGTGTGAAGCGCAGAAAAGGGTCGTTACCTTCGGGTCGGATGGAGCCAACAGCACCCCAGAAGATTGTGTTTCCAGAAAACATTGTCTCTCGGTGGTAGTCCTAATAATACTCGGCAGAGCATTGGCTATAGATCACTTTTTCACTTTTCTCAAAGCCCTGTAGAGAGGTGGGGAAACTGAGGCACAGAGCGGGCAGATCACGCGCCAAGTCAGCTCCAGAACTGGGAATAGAACCCAGGAGTCCTGACGCCCAATCACCTGCGCTAACCAGTGGCCCACACCGCCTCTTGCTGCATCAACTGAAGTCACCTCCTCCCAGGCCGTGAGTCGCTGGGTGTGCACCAGACAGGTTGCTTGTGCCCTGGTCACATGCTTTTTCATCTTCTCCTCGCCAATATTCACTCCTGTATCTCTTTCCTCCTAGACTCCCTGGTGCCACTCTCCCCGACATACTGAACAGCCGCCCCCACCTTGGGGGTCCTCTCCCCTGCTGCCCCTCGGGCACCTATGGAAACCTTCTCCACCTCCACGTGAAGAGACTCACATCCCAACACCCACGTGGCTGCTGTTTTCACAGAGCATCCCGTTCGTCCCCGAGCCAATTACCAAGCTAACGCACACACCCTTCCAGAGTCCGTAATATCGGCCTCATTCCCCACTTGATTCGGAATGACACGTGGCTTTGTACGTGGCTCTTACCCCAGCTGACGAGACGCCTGAGCAATCGGCCAACGTAGGGGCCACTTTTGTTTCCTTTTGTGAGCCGGGGGGAAGACCCAGAATAAAGAGATTCTCTTTTCGTTCTCATGGTTTCTGGCAGCGTCTCAGTGTCCCTGTAGGCTCAGTCCCTGGCTCGCTCTGCGGCTGGATTCGGCGGTCAGGGAGGAGAGACGGGCGTGTGCCAGGAGAGGACACAACGCTGGAACTGGCCTTCCCTCTCCGACCCTGGTAGACTCCCGGGCCACAAAGCAATTCTGGCCCGTGACCAGCCTCTTCTGATAGGAGCTCCATCAGCTCCGCTGTGGGGCTGGGAGGACACGCTCTGTGTGCTGCCCTATCTCTGGGGATCAACAGAGAACTTCAGCCTCCACGACTGGCCAGCCCAGAAGTCGGATGGGTTGGCACCTTTCCATCAATGTGGGACGGGGGAATAAAGAGAGAGGCTGTGTCCCCCATGTGCCACTAGGTGGTGGTAGCTATCTGTTCGCCACAGCATCAGGCCAAAGGGAAAAAAGCCATCAGCCTTCCTGAAATTAACTTCCACATCACAGCACAGGGCCGGGGTGTGTTGATTCTCCGAGCCAGCTATCTAGGGTGACCAAATGTCCTGATTTTTATAGGGACAGTCTTGATTTTTGGATCTTTTTCTTTAATAGGCTCCTTTTACCCCCCCACCCCCTGTCCCGATTTTTCACACTTGCTGTCTGGTCACCCTACAGCTACCATTACTGGCGGGACTGACCCTTTTTAGTGCAGTATTGTCCGTATTCAGCCCATCACTTAAGTGTGTGCTCAGACTTAAGCAGGTGTTTTAAGGGCCTTCCCGATTCGGGGGCTCAGTTTCTCCAGGAAAGTCTCCGCTAGGTGGCTGCATGCCTTTGAGGACTGGGGCCAAGCAAAGACAGAGCCAAACTGCGATTCTGTGGGGGATTGCCAGTGCCCTCAGAAGCTCAGGGAGGAGGGCTGGAGTGGGGGCAGCTGGTTTGTTGGTGGGCAGCCTTTTCCCGGGCCAATTGCACATCAATTTCCATTTGTCTTCCCTTGAGACCATCACTCGATGCGCTGGGATACTACAGAGAACCCCCTCCTGCCAGAACAGGGCCCCCTCCAGCTCCACTCCTGTCTTGCTAAGACACTCTTAGCTTCAGCACAGACACAGAGGTTGGGCCACACCCGGCTGCAGTTCACTGAAACTGAGATGCCCTCAGCTCAGGGGCTTAACAGAGACTTTCCCAGGCCCAGTGTTCAGTCCTTCTGGGCAATTTGCAACTTGTGCAGTTTTAGCTTCTTCTGATCTTTATTCTTACTTATTTTGCTTCCTTTTCTGTCCCTGCTTCCCTTACCCAAAATAAGCAAACAGAAAATAACAAATCAATAACCACTTTGTCTGTTTTCCAGCCACCACACTTAAAACTCACTTAAAACCACTACCAGTATCTCAAATCAATCAGCTGTGCACAGATCCTGCTCGACTACGTCACTGTGACGGGCCTCTGGTTCCAGCCCTTGCTGCTAGCAGGTTGAAGGCTGAGCTCTTTCCCCGCTGCTGGAAGGGGCTGGGGCGCGAACCGGTCCCCTGCCGCCTTGTGGAACGTTGCTAGCCCATAGCAAAGCACCTGGAAGCCTTTCCCGCCCGCCTGCTGTTGGACTCGGAGCAGGGAAGAGCCTTGACAGCTCCAATTAGTTTTGCTGCTCCACTAGCAATGGTCCCAAGACAGCTCACCTGCGAGCGACGCACGGCGGGGGGGAGGGAAGCAGCCGCGGCGGGGCAAGAGGAAGGGCCTCGGAGCTGTCAGATGTCCCCCTCCCTTCCCAGCTGGGCTCCTTGTAGCTCATGGTGCAGATGCCAGCTTTTACCGCAACATGCCAGGCCAAACACCAGCCCCTTTGCGAGCTGGAGGCGTGATCTGGGCCCGGCCTCCCTGCATCACGTCTCCGGCCCTCCAAACCGGGCAGCCCCCCCCCAGGTCTCCCACGGCTCCCGCCAGGCCTCAGCTCAGACACACACGGGAGAGGGAGGCGGTTGTGGCCAAAACCCAGGCGAGCTGGGTCTGAAGCAACGCCCTGCCTGCTGCATGGGCCAGTGGGACTCAGCAACGCTGGGAACGAGTGATGGGGGAGAGGAGGCTAGTGAACAGCAGGCGTAGCAAGAGTCCAAAAACCAGCCCACGCCAGAAATGGCTTCGTCGGAGGCAACCAGGGCTGAAATGCTCTGAGCGAGTTAGCAGGAGCAGGCGTAAAGGCTGGCGGAGCGGGGCTCTGGGCAAGGCAAGGGCCTGGGAGCCCAGAGCCACGGGTTCCGTTCCTTGCTCTACCAAGACACGCTCTGTCCTTGGGCAAGTTGCTTAAGCCCAGATCAAAGGTATTTAGGCACCTATCTCCTGTTGGAATCAATGGGAGTTAGGCCCCTTCGAGGCTCTGGGCCTCTCGGGGTCCAAGGTGAGCGTTCCTGCCTTGGGCAGAGGTTGCTGGCTTGGGGGGGGGGGGGGGGTTAGGGCCTCCCCCAGAGGTTCCTTGCCATTGACTGATCTCTCCTGGGTTGTTTGCAATGTGCATTGGGCTCCTCATTGGCCTGTTCCTGATCACCCGCGCTATAATTCCCTGGAAACTATGCGCCCTAAAGTAGATGTGGGGCCACGGCCCGCTGGGGGTTGAGATCCAGGGGGTGCAAGGGGCTGTTTCCGAGCCGGGCCCTGACTCGGATTTAGTGCAAGGACCGTCCCTACTTCGGTCCCCAGCAATGCTTCACGCAGCCCTGCCAGCTTCCCTAACTTATGCCATTGCGAGTTCGTCAGGGCAGGGACCCGCTTTTTGTGCAGTGTCTGTGCAGCACCTAGCACCCTGCTGCAAGCCTGGGGCTGGTAGATGCTACAGTAATGTAAATAATAATAATATGGGTCCTTATGGCCACTGGGGCATGGGAAGGCCCCTGCCACGCCCCCTCCTGCTCCTGGTAAGATGGAGCAGCACCCAAGTGGTTAACGTGATTGGAAGGGTTGGCGTTACGGCGCCGGCTGGCTGGTGGTACAAACCCGGCCGGCTGCAAGGCAACGAGCGAGTCGCTCACGGGAGGGGGCGATGGAGGATGAATCCGTCGCTGCACCTGAATTTGGAGTCGGGGATTTGTGGTCTGGGCCGAGCGCCCCAGTGCAGCAAAGCGCCACGCCCGGGAGGCAGAGCCCAGTCCGGCTCTGCCTAGGTCAGCTACAATGGCGGCTTTCTTCCATCTTTTAGCAGCTGAAGGAGGCCAGGGAGCTGGTTGCTGCAGGTTAGGGAACGAGGCACCTGGCCGGGTTATTACCAGGATTGAAGCTCGTCCCTCTGCTGGGACCGGATTGTAATTACAGTAATTTTCTAAGCGTGCTCTGCACAATGAGTGTTTAATCAGGGCCTGACTGCCTGCATCTCCCAGCCCTCATCACTCACTGGGAGGGCTCTTAAAGAGACAAGTCCCCCCCGCACCCCTCCTTCAGCCCGTTGAACAGCTGTCCTGTAATTGGTAGACATATTTGAGCCTCCTGGCATGCAGCAGGGTGCAGCGATTCTGCTGCAGTGCTGGCCTCTCTCCCCGCTGGCAGGAGGCCGCGTGATGCTCTAAGGGGGGGGGCTGCAGCGCGGCAGGGCCCCAGAGGCTGAGAGGGGTGGGGGAATCGGGCCTGCTGGTGAGCTGATGCTTGGCGCGGTAGCTGGTTTCCTTTGAAAAAAAACACCCACCCCGATCTCTGCTCCTGGAGGCTGAGGAGACATCTGCCTGGGTCTGCAGGCAGCCCACAACAGTCACTCTGCGGCAGGTGTGCACAGCCTCTTTCAGCTCAGTGGGGTGTTGACTCTGAAGCCTAATGGCAACAACTTTACATTTCTGTTCACGCTTTCACCGATCAAAGCAAACACAGGGGCAGTGCTGGGCTTGTGGGTTGAGCAGGAGCGACTATCGCTCCCCCCATCCCCTGCAGTGGGGTTATCTGACAGGGCACCTGCCCCACGGAGCACCAGCTACTGGACCGAGGGCCTGATCCTGCTCTCACTGCAGCCTGGGAGTGGGGTGGGGTGCAGGGGAGAGACAGGAAAATTAAAGAGTAGCGATATATGGCAAACAGAATAGGGGCATGGGAAAGCAGGATTCCTGAGGTCTGTTGCCATCACCCCATGTCCCTTCCCTTCTCGTGCCACAGTTTGTCTGTCTGGCCAAGGGGTGTAAAGCCCTTGGGCCACCCCAATAAAGCTCTCAGAGAACCTCAGGGGAGAGTGGAGGATGCTTACAAATCCATAGCCGTCCCTAGGGTAGGCCTATTTGTCTCTTCCTAGGGCCAGCAAGGACAGCACTCTCCAATACCTGCACCATCAGCACAGCCACCTCTGGGGTACTAGGACAATCTTCGCTAGCAGTAGAGGGCCTATGGCATGCAGCAGTTCTGATTCCAGCGGTGACACATCTGCTAATCAGCTGGTGGCAGCATGAGGCCTAACTCCAGCCCTGCCCAAGGTGAAGGGTGGGCTCTGAGTGGCAGGGGCTAGCCCTGAAAGCCGGGTGCTTCCCCCAGGCTGGAGAGCAGGGACAGAGACCCCCCTTCTCTTATCTTACCCTTTGTTGGGGGAAGGGGGACTTTATCAGCTGTGCGCTCCAGGCATCTGGACACAGAGGGGCGGGAGGCCCTGCTCCCTCCATCGCCAGCAGCGGGCGGGACGGGAGCCACGTTCTCAGCGCTCAGTCCTCGGGCTGGGGAGGCCTCTGTACAACCAGGGTTTGGATTTAGGCAGCAGCAGCTTCCCAGTCGGCAGGTTAAACGCCAGCACCGGAGGAGGCAGGTGGCTTAGTCCGGCGGAGGGAGCTGGCTCCAGCCTGTCATTCTGATCAGTCAGTGCCAGGGTTGGGGGCTCCTCCCTCTCTCCATTTGAGCTGGCTGGGTGGTACATGTGCTACAATTTGTTTGCACGGACTTGAGAGACAGCCAGGCCTCCTTTGGGGAGCTGGAAGGGATGAGCCTGGATGGCTTCCAGCGCTTGGATGGCTTCCAGGCAGAGGCTGGGTTGATGCCAGGCTTTGGGGGAGTCATCTCGAGAAGGCCTCAGCCACGTGGCAAGAGAAAGGTTACCTTGAGCTGCTCTGCGTGCCTGTCACATACCTGCCCTCAGCTCGGTGGCAGGCAGCAAGCAGGGACTAGGGCTCGGGAGCCGGGCCTGCCGGCTGCTGGACGGAAACAGTTCGCTCCCAGCACAGCGCCTGCGTGCAGCCCCCTCGCAGCTGACTGGTTCCACATGAATCCACAGCTGCCCCGGCAGCCCTTTGCTTACTCGCTCTGTGGCGGGCACAGGCCTTGATTTTACCCACCCCAGCGTCCATGCCACTGGCAGCAGCAAAATTACTTTCCCTATTAAAGAGACACACTCGGGCCAAGAGAAACTCAGAGGGCTGAGAGTTGGGGTCTAAACGATCCTCCCGCAGAAGCACAGCCAGCAGCAAAGAGCTGTTACGGTTATGGAGGAGGGAAGGGCGTGTTCCCCATTTCCTGCACCGCTAACGCCCTGACTTTCAAAGGCGCTGAGCACCCACTGCCCAGAGTGGAAGCTGGGGGTTCCCGGTGGTTCTGCTAAGCAGCGTTCAATACTTCTACAAGCCCCTCCCCGGTGAAAGGGAACAGAACCTGCACCTCCCCATGATCAGAGCGGCGTCTCCCCGCCTAGCAGCGTCGTAAGCAGCCTTCTGGAGCAGTACCGGAGCCCAGCTACCGCTCTGGAAAAGATCTGTGTTGCAATGCCCCCCTTTAACCCCCAGTAGCTTTCATCGCCGTGAAGCCCATGTGCTCTCACGTTAATCTGACAACGCCACTCGGCCTGAGTCAGTCCCGGTTTGGTCAGGCCCAGCCGACAGTAGCGGGATTTTGTGCCCAGCCTCCTTGGAAAAGTGAGTAGACTTTGGGTCCGGGTTGATACGTTTGCAGCACCTCTAGAAATAATTTTGCCTGCCCCTGAGATGCAGCCAGCGCTGGGGGTAGGCACTGTTAAAGCAGCAGCCGGGACTGACACACCGGAGAGCTTGCTCAGGTGGCTTTCCCCTTTCCCCATGGTCCTTGTGTCGCGTTCCAGCCAGCAGTTGCCTGGGTTGGTGCCCGGAGGTAGGTGGAGCTGGCGCTCTGAGCTGCAGCCCCCAGAATGTGACATACAGCAAGAGGATGGTGGGGAACGGCCTTTCCGTGCCCACATGCTAGCAGGGAGGGGAACTGCCCCAGGAAGGCGTTTAGGAGACCACTGCAGTATGTTTACCCAGCAAGCTTGGTAAACAGGGTGGTTGCAAAGAGGAGCGAGAGCTGCTGCGGCCAAGCCGGCGTTGAAGGGAAAACCCCAGGGCAGGCAGAGGTCTCCGAGCAGGGCAGCCCATGCCAGAGCCTGCCGCATGCTGTGATTCCGCGAGCCTGGCTTCAGCGCCAACGCGGCTAAGCCTAATGGGGGCCCGGCTCACCCATGGGTGCAGCCCACATGCCTCTAGGTGCGTGTCAAGCCTCCGCTGAGGGGGGAGAGCAGGGACAGCCCCCGCCTGGCATTTTGGCTGCATCGCCGACCCCACCAGCTCCTGGCTGGAAGTTTCTAGATCAGCACTGCCGGCACAGCTGGCCTCACAGCTGCACCATTTGGAGCTGTGCTCTCATGAATATTCATGAGGCAGCCCCAACCAATCGGCAGAGCAGCTACCATTAGCGAGCAGCTGTCAGGTTTTTTAAATGAACTTCTTTTGACATTTTAGATTTTCCTCTGTAGGCTTCACTTCCCCCCCCCCCCCCCCACCTCATGTGTGGCAGAGAACACGCCCATGTGAAGTGGGGGAGAGGAAAAACCTCATCACAAGCACCTGGGGAAATTGACCGACACCCAACTTGATTTTCACAGCCAGGCCCTGCGACCGCCACATCGTGACAGTCCATGAAACTGAGCAAGGTATGGCGTAATCTACCAACCCGGTCACGGCCGGCTCTGCTAGCGTGGTCTGACGAAGACGGCAGGCACCCCGAGGGAAACGGACTCCCACCTTGCTAAGCATCACGGGCTGCGTTCCTGCCTGCAGGATGGCCCTCACCTTCCCCGGCCCGCGGGTCACGCACCCCTGCTGAGCTCTGGGCACAGAGGGGAGAGTTGGGCTACCGCAGAGCTTGGCCACCACCAGGTGCCAGATGAGCAGGCAGCCGCTCCGCTGTTCTCTAGGGCCCCTGCTGGTCGTCAGCCCCTTGCCCAAGGAAGGAGCACCAGAAAGGACATATCTGGGCTGAGGGGAGGAGCGAGGGCTGCTGTGCACCGGTAGATGGAGAGGGGCTGGCAGGATCAGTATGTCCCTCCCACCCCAAAGCCACATGCATGCACCCCAGAAAGCAAGCCCCTCCACCGCACCTCCCCCCCACACACACCCCGCTCCATCGCCTTTCAGCAGTACTAAAGCCAGCTAGCGCTGGGTCTACTGACCAAGTCCCACAGAGCCAGAGAGAAGCAGGTTCTCTCCCCGGGTGGGGGAACTGTCAGACCCTGTGGAGATGGAGGATAATACTGAGGCCCTTGGTCAGGGGCATCTTTCACTCAGGGTTCCTAGCAGTGACATATTATTTGGGGAGCCCGGGCTGGAGGAAAAAGCTCTTTCGCCTCGCCCCCCCCCCCCCAGCTGCAGCTGGACACTCATCAGCCGTCACGATCTAGTGCCCAATGCAACCAACGCAGGGATGGTCGCTGGTGGCATCTTAGCCAGCCCCAAGCCTATTGCTTAAGATGCATCAGCCCCATTATTTTTTTTCCTCCCCAAACACGATCAGTTTGTGATTAGCCTTCCCTGCTCCGCCTGGGTCCCTCCTGGTCTCCTCCCCGCCCCGCCAGACATAAATCACCAGCACCCAGTGTCTCATGCACTTCACATTTATTGCAGGCCAGAGCACCTCAGCTCTGCCTTCTGAGCCATGACAATGCCAGAGGATGGGCTGGTGGAAAGGCACGGGGAGCAGCAGAGTAGATGGACCTGATGGGTTGAAAGCAGAGAGGCCCTGGTGGTAGCTGTAGCGTGGGATTGCCCATTCTCTATTAAGGGATTCTTTCTTCGGTTCTGCTCCCTCATGGCTGGCTATAGGGATCACCACCCTTTGCCCTTCCCCTTTGCCCTCTTTAGCTCCAGTTGGCTGTTAGGCTCCGGCAGGTCTGGGCTAGCCAAAAGGTTTGTTCTCCTGCAGGGAAGCCCAGCTTGAGGGGTGTCCCACACAACCAACCTTCTGACCTCACTGTCCCACCACAACACATTCCCCCAGCCCCGCCGCAATGGAGGAATCAACCCTGCAATATAGAGCCCCCAGGGAAAGGTCATGGGCTCATTCCAGCTGCACGCAGCCTGCATGCCGAGCCCGGCCTGGAGGACCCAGGTGTGGAGGTGGTATCCATACCCAGCGGGTGGGCTTCCGGCTTAGCACAGCTGAGGGGAGGCCGCCCCACAGCCGCTGTTTAAACGTGGCTCTCAGCCGTGCAAAGTAGCGCCGCTCGTGCCTACGCGGCCATTGGTTTTTCAGAGGGGAATGCTACGAAGACTGAATTCTAGTTCTAGGAATGAGAATCCACTGGGCATTGCTGGGACCGCTGACTGATCTGCTGCTGGGCAAGGAGGGACGGCAGCTCGGCCTAGGGATCCAGACAACATCTCTCCTGGAGGATCTCTGCAGCGATGAGCATCTGCCTCCATGACCCAGCTCCAAGGGGACAGAGAATCAAGCCAAGATCAAGGGAGCTGGCTTTTGTTTTCAAGCAGCCCCCATCCCTAATACACACCGTTCCCCCCACAAGAGCATGACACAGCCCTGGGGAGTAACAAACTTAGGTTCTACTAAGCCCTGGTTCCGTTTTCGTACAGCTCAGTTGTGTATTCACACAGCACCTGCCTCATCAGAGGACCGTCCAGAGGCAGCAGGAAGTGGTCACAAGCTGCTAGGAGTAGAGGGGCTGAGGATGAGGCCCACGTGCCATGCAGGGTCCCAATCCTGCACCAACGGGAGCCACTCAGCTGCCATCCTCGGCTCTCCGCAGAGCAAGAACCGCTGCTCCCAGACAGGGTGCACACAATCGTTTGTGCTGCTTACTTCGTCCCCGGCTGCTCCGTAGGAGAATCCAGGCTATCCGAGTGGTTGTCTTCCATGCCGAAGTCGCTCCAGCGCGAAGGGGGTTTCAGACAGCTCCGAACAGGGGGGCTTCCGTGACCAGCGCAGCTACGGAGAGAAGACACAGGAGAGTCAGGAAGGAAGAGGGGTTCCAGGCAAGATGCACGGCCCCAGCTCTCCCGAGCTACACACGCATCCTGCCCTGCGTAACGGCCTGGAGCAGTGAGCCACTGACAGAGGAGTTGCACGAGCACCTTGCTCCTGCCACCTTACCCCCGGTTCCTGGGAGATCTGGGGCCAAGCTGCCGGCCGCACTAGGACCTGAGCGCTCTAAAGCCTGGCGCCCGACCCCAGCAATCCTGGGAGGAGCAGCGGGGGGCTGGGAAAGTTGCCCTACTCCAGATCCACCTTTGCACAAGTGCGCCCGTGGAGCAGGGAGAGAGCAGCAGACAGCTTCCTTTCGGCCACCTGCCCCCATCTGCCTGCAGCCTCTTCGCCGTGCTTCCACAGGGGCCTCTTCCGCAGCTGGCCCAAGGAGCAGTGCAGGTGGAGTCTGCTCAGACAGCCAGCTGCTCCCCTCCTCCAGGCCCCCCACCCACCACACGCAGCGCAGAGCCCTCTGCGAAGAGGGGAAGGGGGGGGGGAAGAGATAGGAGAATCCCTCGGTGCGGCCAGGGCAGGCGTCGCCAGGGAGGGGCTTCGAGCATTGACAGCTGAGCCAGCGAAGCGTCTAGCCTGCCGAGCTGCCTGGATACCTACCCCTCAGCCTGGCTTCCTGCGCCCAGTCCAAACCCTTCCTTAAACCAGAGGGGCTTTCTTAACACGGGCCTCTTGCTGGGGCCCACCCACGCCGCTTCTCCTGCTATTTAAAACCAAGAGCGAGACGCTGCGGCGGGGCATGATCTTCAGCTGGGTTCATTTGCCTAGCAGCCTAGGACAACAATCCTGTCATGGCTCCGTTCATCTCCCCTCCCGTTGGCCAGGGTGAGAAGCGCGTCTCCACTCCTCAAGCAACCAGGATTTTGCAGGGCTGCTGGTGCATAGGAGGTAGCAGGCTCGGAGGGCAGCGGAATACAAAGTATTCTCAGCACCGATGTCCCCTGGGGACAGGTGCCTGGAGGTCTTGCAAGAGGCTGCACCACAGCACTTCTCTATGAAAAGGTTACTCAGAGTTGAGCGGGTGGGGGTGGCTCCCCCCACATCACACCGGAGACTTAGAGAGATTCTACAGTAGGTGCCTGCAGTGGGAGGTCTAGTGCCCCGACCCAACTGCTCCCCCTAGAGGAGAGGGGCAGCTGGCAGGCTGCAGAAACTGACTCACTGAGTGATGGAAATTGGTACAAAGCCTGAGCACAAGACGCTTCTCCCGTTATAAGATCTACCGCTGTGGCCACGGGAGGGGGGGGGGGGGCGCACACCCCGGAGCTTGTCTGGCGGTGTCCTTTCCCCTTCCAGGATTCCTCCCCTCTCAGAGGCTCCTAGTGTCACAACATCCTCCCCTCCAGCAAGGAAGGTGGAGGTGACTCCCCCAGGCAGAGCCACTTCAGCCACAAGGCAGCTTTGCCACTGGAGAACGACAATCATTCCTCACCCTTGCCCGTCTGAGATGCTCAGGACACGGTCTGGATTTGCCTTGGGCCTAAACCAGGATGTGTGAGCCCAGCTGCGCGGTAGGGGAAAGGCCAAGGGAAGTGGGTATTAGATGAGTCAGGTGGGGGCTCCGCATTCAACACGGAGAGCATCAGGAAGGAAGCATATGCTCGTTTTGGTGCCCAAAGGGGAGCTGAGCCCTTCGGAACATGCAGCCCCCATCGCTCCAGAGCACGACACCTTTGCTACTGATGAAAGGATGCGCCGGAGGCCCCTGGTGAGCACAGAGCAGCGATGGGACTCTGGACTGCTCCTTCCGGGCCGATGGCGCACGACGTGGAGAAATCCTCCAAGCAGGCCGTGACCATAGGCGCCAACTTTCCCCGGCGCCGGTGGGTGCTTGCGCCCCACACTGACCCAACTCCATCCTTTCCCCTCCCCTGCACCACCCCCATTCCAACCCCTTCCCCAAAGTCCCTGCCCCAACTCCGCTCCCTCCCTGCCCCAAATCCCCACCCCAGCCCTGCCTCTTCCCCAAGTGCGCTGCGTTCCCTCCTCCTGCCCAGCCGTGTGAAACAGCTGTTTTGTGGCACAAGCGCTGGGAACTAGGGGGAAAAAGCAGGCACCTGACGAACTCAGGGAAGGAAGCGGAGGTGGGCTGGACAGGAGGGTGAGGAGCTGCCAGTGGGTGCTAAGCACCCACCAATTTTTCCCCGCGGGTGCGCCTGCCCCAGAACACCCACGGAGTCGGCGCCTATGGCCGTGACGAGTCCTAGGGCACTCAGGAGCAGATGGGGGCTGGGGATCGTGTGAATTAAAGCCACGTCCCTATTTGGCTGTGGTGTGTTCTTTGGGAGGATCGGACCAAGCACATTAGACCCCACATGGCCACAACAGCTGGTGCAGTGGCTAAGTTGTGGGAAGGCCCATAGCCATGTTACGGGCCCTCTAGAGAGGCCACAGCCAGGTTCCAACCATTTTCCAGCTCTGGTCTAGCTAGCACAGATCAGCTCCAAGCATGGAAGGGGGCTCGGCTCTTAGCCTAGTTCCAGCTATCGGTCTCACTCCGTCCCACCCACGAGTCCCAGATTGCTCCCAGGACCTGCTGTAGAGCTCTGCCCCCGCCACGAGCGCAGGGCGGGCGTCTTCTTCCTGCACCCAGCCGCAGTTCGACATGGCGTAGCGGAGGATGGCGTCCGTGACGGTCAGGGGGCTCTGGCCCTGCACGCACGCCTCGATCTCGGGCACCGACAGCTGGCTCTGCAGGAAGAGATGCAACTGGCTGTCTGACAGGAGGACCACGTTCTGCACGACCCTGGAGAGAGACAGGAAGCGAGGGGACAATGCAGAATGCGGTATAGCCCCCCAGGCCTGCGTACCAGCCACAGGGGCTGGTAGACAGTAAGGGCAGGGGAGGATCCGGCTGAAGATAGTAGTGAGAATTTTCATGCCCCCCCGCCCAAAAGCATTACCCCCTTCCAGCTCAGGGTCCCTAGCGGGAATTCTCTTCTCTGACCCCAAACACCACCCTCAAGCCCGGGGAAACAGAGCCGCTAGGCAGCCTTCTTTCCTGCTAGGAAGCAGGGTTTTGAGGTGAAATAGCCCCTGCCCCCCCCCCCAAACCCATTTCAGCCACCAAGCCAGCCGCGTGAGGGAGCTGCATCCCTTCCACTCACTTCTCCAGGAACTGCTGGAGCCCCTGTCTCCGTTTCTCAATGAACTCATCGGTGCTGCCTGCAAAGAAGGTGGATTTCCCCGGCAGCTCCGGGACAGGCCTGAGGGAACAGAGCAGAGGAAGGCAACGGCTCGGTATCCACAGCCGGAACGAGGTGACGTGGGACGGACCTGGTGGGAGAAGCCGGGCCTCGTGCAAACAGCCAGAGCGTGTTTTCACCCACCGCCAAGCTGGGGCGATCGTAGAGCTCCTGGGCCCAGGAACAGCCGGCACTTGCATAGCTCGAGCGTTAGACGCCCCTCCGTCCTCTGCAAGCAAGAGATTGCCCAGGGAGGCGAACACTTTGGCCTTTACTTTGGTGCTGGGCACTTGCTCACTCCACGTGACTGACCCCCCGTCACATTTACTAGAATTAGGATATTAGGAAACACTATTTCACTAGGAGGGTGGTGAAGCACTGGAATGGGTTCCCTAGGGAGGTGGTGGAATCTCCTTCCTTAGAGGTTTTTAAGACCCGGCTTGACAAAGCCCTGGCTGGGATGATTTAGTTGGGGGTTGGTCCTGCTTTGAGCAGGGGGTTGGTCTAGATGACCTTCTGAGGTCCCTTCCAACCCTGATATTCTCTATGAACCCAGCTCACCTGACTTGGAATCTGTGGGTGCAGCCAGCCCTTTGGGCCAGTTTCTCTTGCCCCTGCTCTCTCCTGTCTATAATGCCTTATCCTACGGAGGGTCAGGACACCCAACACCTCTGTGCTAAGGAGAAGTTGGGGTCTGGCATCAGGGAGGCGGAGGAGGAATTTCACACTCACACTAAGCCAGCGTTTTTCTGGAGCTGCTTCCTCAGCCACACGAACTCGCGGTACCGTCTGCGCACGCACGAGGTCTTGGCAGTAAAGGCCTTGCTGCTGGTCTGTGAAACGAGACGCGGGAGGACGGGAAAGGTCAGAGGTGGCTCCCTGTAGGGGGGCACAGAGCCCCCTTCAATGCCAGCTCATTCTTCCCATAAGGTCCTGCTGTCCTGTGTCCAGGGGAACGTTCTGATCTGAACCAGAACATGGTATTAAGTTGCAAGCGGCGGGCCCAAGCCAATCTTTTGGCCTCAGGAGGAGCAGCAGGACTTTACCTGCAAACGAGGGGGGGTGCGGCCTGGTTTCATGGCCTGAACATGGAGTGGAGGGCCTGGAACTGCTCTAATCATGGCCCCAACTCGCTGCTGGAACTTGCTCTGACACCAAGGGGCTAGGGGTCATTTAATTCCCTAGATCAGGGGTTCTCCGCCTTTTCTTTTGTGAGCTCCCCCTCATGGCCCCCCTCCTCCCCGACAGGCTATAAAAACTCCACAGCCCAGCTGTGCCACAACTGGTTTTCTGCATATAAAAGCCAGGGACGGTGTTAGGGGGTAGCAAGCAGGGTATTTACCCAGAGCCCCACACCACAGGAGCCCCTGTGAAGCTAAGTTGTTCAGGCTTTAGTTTCAGCCCCGGTCGGCAGGGTTCAGGGTTCATGCTGCGGGACTTTGGCTTTCTGCCCTGGGCTCCAGCGAGTCTAATGCTGGCTCTGTTCGTGGCCACCCCTGGTTGAGAACCACTGATCTAGATAGGTGCTTGCAGAGAAGGGGGAGTGAGAGATGATGGAAAGATCAACTAGTTAAAGCACCGATAACCGTGCTTGGCTAAGCAAGCTCTATACAGCAGAATCCTGCCGTGGGGGCGGAGTGGACCACGCTGTGGTGCAGCCCCTTGCAAGACCCTAGGTCTCAGATTGTCCAGCACCCCGAACCATCTCAAACCGCTGCCAAGTGATGCCAGATGGGGCGGTAGCGTTTTACACCCACTTTTCACTGCGGAGAGGCGACAGCACGGTGCGGTGTCAGACTCCGCTCTGCACTTACATGGAGGAAGATTTTATAATCCACATAGGAATTCCAGGAGCCTTCGTTCTGGAGCCGAGGGTCCTGAACCCGCACCGTGGTCAGCTCCTGAGGGCAGAGAAATGTTGTCTAACTCCAAGGAGATGTTCACCGCAGCCCCATCCTAACCGGCCTAGTCCTGACTTCCCGTCACCCAGCTGTAACCCACAGAAGAGAGCAGCTGGTGGCAAGGTCTGCAAGTGGCAGGAACAGGCAAGCGGTGCTGCCTTTGAGAAGGTGGGTACTGATCTCAGGAGCACCAGCCTTTGAAGGGGGAGTGTCCCCGCCATACTCTGAGGTTCGTTCTACCTGGTGATTCCCCAAACTATAATCCTCCCACCCCATCCTACCCTTAAAGGCCCACGCTGCTGCAGCCATGCTAGGCAGACAGCTCCTGCCCTCATCACCCCACTAATCCCCCCACCTGACCCTGTAAAACCCTTCATATTATCCCCCTGGGTACCAGCTAAGGGTTCCCCACCTCTTCCCCCTATGTGAAACTCCAGCTTTGCTAGCACTAACTCGCTCACCACAATGGTTCGATCTCTGCCTGAATTCAAAGGCTCCATACGTTCCCCCAACCTGCCAGCCCCCCCCAAACACGGAACAGAAAATGGCAGAAACTCGGGAGAGCCTTACTTCTTGCTCTTGATTCTCCAACATCCTACAGCCAGAGCCCAGAGGGAAGCATCTGTCCAGATGAAAACAAACAGACCCTCAGTTAGACGAAGCAGATCTGACACAAAGCTAAAGGTGCCTGGACTAGTTACAGGCTCACGTGTTCAGCTGGAGGTGATGCCCCCTGCCCCATTCCTTCTTACCCTCCACTCCAGGATACCCCATTTTCCCCCTGCTCAGTCCCACAGCTGTGTGCACCCTTCTTCGGCTTCCTCCCCAGGCCAGGGTCCTCCATTCCCCACCTCCACATGCCCATCCGCTTCCCCCACCATTGTTACTTCTCTTCTGGCTGGGAGATTAGTCATTCAGGGTGTCAACATGCTAAACCATTGGGAGGACAGGCAGAGCTGAGAGAGGGTGGTGTTCGACTGAAAGGCGGTAATGGGTGCCATGATCAACCAGTTCTTTGATCTGCAGCCTGTTTGCAGAGGTGCTTGAAGCTGTGCATCTGCTAAAGGGTTGACAAAGTCTCTGTACAGCCCCAGTTTCCCCCCAAAACAATACGGCTCCACCCATGGATGCCTAGAACCATGTGGAATTGATCAGATGCCATGTTCAGAAGTTACCGTGTTACAGACGGAGGCCATCAGACTGAGCTAACAAAGGTGGTGATTTCCTGCAAAGGGAGTTCCCCCACCATCACCAGAGTCCTGCATCGGAAAGGCTACAACTCCGGCCAGCTCTACATTACAGACCTACGTCGGCATCAACACCTCGCTCAGGGGTGTGAAAAATAAACAACCAACGTGACATTGTTATACCGACTTAACCCTCCGTGTGGGCAGTGCCATGGCGACGGGAGAGCTGCTACCATCTCTCATGGAGACGGATTAACTGCGCCAACATTCGCTCTCCCGCCGGCGGACGAGCGGCTTCACTAAAGCACTACAGCCGCACCGCTCTAGCGCGGTACGGGAAGACAAGTCCTCAGAGAGGCTTTCCTAGCAGCCATGCTCAGCCCTCCCCCTCGGGTCTGAGCGTCCCTGCCCAGCACGGATACAGAGGCCGTGTTCCCACAAGGCAGCTTGTGTCTGGATAAGGAATAGCACCCACTGTGGCTCAGGAGACCTATAGCTGGCCCGGAGAGACCAGTCGAAAACACTCGTTAAGTGAGAATGTTTCACCTGTGTCGCACCTCTCATCCCAGAGCACTTTCCGATCTCTGTGTGCATAGCGCTACTGAAATGCGGCCAGTTCTGGGGGGCGGGAGGGGACTGGTAGCCAGCTGCTGCGCAGCACAACAGTAACAGAGGTTGTTTTAAACAAAGGCCCTTTCATAGGAAGGGTGACCCGGGATCTTTGGCCACGCAGGGCAGAGAGGACCCCTGCTTTTAAGGTCTAGTCCAAATGGCTTGCGTGGACTCTTACTTTACCTTGGAAAGGTGGAGGGTTGAGTCAGCCTCACTAGATTTTTCAACCTGTGCCAAGGGGTGGGTGGGATATTTCCCCTCCAAGATAACTGATACTTCTGCCACCCAGTCTTCCTTTACGGCTAGGTTACATTTCTAGCCAGAAACAGCCTTTGTGCTCTGTGTTTGTACCGTGCCTAACACAACGGTGTCCCGGATGTTGCGGTAACACGCAGCGTAAGTAATAATTGGTGATTATTAATAACTGACGGGACGTTAGTTCAGTTCTTCAAAAACCAAGACAGATCCATTGAAAGGACAGGTCAGTTGCACCCAGTTCTCGCACGTTTGTGCCCTGCAGACAGAGAAATGTAAGCCTGCCATTTGAATTCATTAGGTCCTGGATGTGTGCGTGCACAAGAGAATGGCTGAAGATGGTCTCAGCTTTTGCTAGACCACAGAGGAAGTTATCCTCTTAAAACAGCTGTAACTTTCATTTCTAAAACTTTCATTTATAAACTTCAAACAGCTGTAACTTTCATTTCATAATAAAAACTCCCCATGCTGGGAACTTGACTGATTTTTGAAGTTCACCATAATAAAAACTCAACCCTGCCTTCCGACACTGGCCAATGCCAGGTGCCCCAAGAGGAATGAAAAGAACAGGTAATCATCAAGTGATCCATCCCCTATCACCCATTCCCAGCTTCTTGCAGACAGAGGCCAGGGACACCATCTCTGCCCATCCTGGCTAGTAGCCATTGATGGACCTATCCTCCATTAACTTATCTAGCTCTTTTCTGAACCCGGTTATAGTCTTGGCCTTCACAACATCCTCTGGCAAGGAGTTCCACAGATTGACTGTGCGTTGTGTGAAAAAAAATACTTCCTTTTGTTTGTTTTAAACCTGCCGCCTAATAATTTCATTTGGTGACCCCTAGTTCTTGTGTTCACACTGATGAGATTGTGGCAAAAAAAGGTGCAAACAGATATCCCATCTTCTGAAACTTTACAGCTTCCCTACCCCCAGTTTTCAGTCTTATCACAACATATCTGCTTCAATTTCATGTGTTGCCAACAGCAATGTAACCTCTGAGGAAGGATCACACTTTAATCAGATGCATCTGATGAAGTGGGTTATAGCCCACGAAAGCTTATGCCCAAATAAATTGGTTAGTCTCTAAGGTGCCACAAGGACTCCTCACTTTAACCTGTGTGGTGGAATCCAAAAAGCCAGCCTCCTAAGTCATCTTGATAAGCTATACGGTGGAGGCAGTGTCATCTAGTGGTTAGAGCAAGAGACTGCGCATCTATTTCCAGCTTTCCTGACACACCTTGGGCAAGCAGCAGACTCCTTGCACATCGCCTTCCCCATTTATAATTGTATTCATCATGTGCGTTGTGGGAGCACAGAGGAGCCCGTCAGAAATCAGACTCCATGGTGCTGTAAACACAGATAGCAACACCCATCTTCTTCCCAGCACAGGGTTAATTAACTTTTGTAAAGTACTTGGAAAGCCCTGAATAAGAGGTGCCAAAGGAGGCGCGCGTGTTATTAGCCTCCAGGCTCTAACAATTAAGTTACATAGCAGAGATATTAGCACAGTACCCTCACACCAACCACTTCCTTTGCTGCATCCCTCCAAGTTGTACTGGATGGCGTCAGTCGATTTGATGCACCATTAAATGCTTCTGAGTGAAGCGGTTTGCAATACCTGTTCTGCAACATAATTAGCTTTCGCTCTCAATAGCTTGAAGAGAAACAGATAAAACAACAAATTGTGGCAACAGTCCAGCCAGTGGGACCCTGCAGATTTCAGAGATAAGGTTCTTAAACCAGTTATTGCAGACACATCTGGGCCACTCATCGGGGCAGCTGGAGGGCTGAGCCTGCCCGGGGCGTCCTGGCTTCACCTCTTCCAGCTGGATTGTTTGTAGATGGTTTTTGAGGGATGGATTTATGGCTTTGGATGCAGAGTTGTTGTAGCCATGTTGGTCCCAGAATGTTAGCGAGACAGGGTGGGTGAGGTAATATCTTCTATTGGACCAGTTTCTGTTGGTGAGAGAGACAAGAGGTCTGGGCAGTGTACTCAGTGTCACAGCTAAATACAAGGTGGGACTGATTATTTAGCAGAGGTAGTTAGCTGTCATAGGGAGGGAAATCCAAGATACCCACCTTGAAGGTGTTAAACTGTGTATGGGAATATCTTTTATTGGGCCAACTTCTGTTGGTGAGAGTCAGGGTAGGTCTACACTTACCGCCGGGTCCGGCGGTAAGCAATCGATCTTCCGGGATCGATTTATCGCGTCTAGACAAGACGCGATAAATCGATCCCAGAAGTGCTCGCCCTCGACGCCGGTACTCCAGCTCGGCGAGAGGAGGACGCGGCATCGACGGGGGGCCTGCCTGCCGCGTCTGGACCCGCGGTGAGTTCGAACTAAGGTACTTCGAATTCAGCTACGTTATTAATGTAGCTGAATTTGCGTACCTTAGTTTGAAATGGGGGGTTAGTGTGGACCAGGCCAAAGACACCAAACAAGGGACACTCCGCCAGAAAAGTAGATCACATTCTGCAATGTGCAGCTCCAATGCCCTGAACCTGCTTCAATAAATAAAACTCACTCCAACTACCCATCCCTATCTGTCACCTACCACCCCGCACTGGAACCCTATACTCAATGGGAACCACATCTACCAAAAAAATCCCTCCTGAATCCCTCTTCTGGCCTTCAAAACACCCCAACCTCTCCACGATCATCAGAAGCAAGCTCCCCACAGACTAGGGCACACCAACTCAAAGCAGCACCAGATCTTGCCAGAACAACAGATGCAAAACCTGTCGACGTATCTCCACTGTTGTGAGGGGTGTTGATCATCATAACGTCCCTTGCAAGATCCCTGGATCCCACACATGCCTATCACAGCACGTGGTGTACCGCCTCCAGTGCACTAAATGCCCCAACAACAACTAGGTGGGTGAACCGAGAATCACTATGCTCTCGAATGAACTCGCACGGAAAAAAAAAAATCATACAAGACTAAAACGCTATCAATTGTGGGTGAACACTTTCCACAAAGCGATCGCTCCATATCTGACCTCTCAGTCCTCATCCTCAGAGGAAACCTGCACAGGACACTGAAAAGATGAGCCTGGACGCTTCAATTCATTACTTTGCTAGATACTAAAAATCATGGACTGAATAGCCACTGGATTTATGGCTCATTAGAACACTCTCTAAAACCCACTAACCCACCCCCGTGCTTCTTCTGGACAGGTGTTAGGCCACTTCACCTTGAATGTTCCCTTGAAATGTGTGTTAACCACTTACTCTAAACAATCTGCTCCATCTTGTATTCAGCTGTGACACGGAGTACCTTCCCCTGACCTGAAGAGCTCCGTGTAAGGGTGTGTCTACACTGGCACTTTGTCGGCAAAACTTTTGTTGTTTAGAGGTGTTTAAAAAAAAAAAAACACCTCCCTCCCCCCGCACGATACAAGTTTTACTGATGAAAAGCGCAGGTGGGAACAGCTCTTTGTCGTCAGGAATGCTCTCCTGCTGACAAAGCCACTGCCACTTGGGGGGGGTGGGGGTGGAAGTTTTTTGTCCGCAGGAGAGCTCTCTCTCCTGCTGACCAATAGCAGCTACGCTGCGCGGCTTTTAGTGGCAAGCCTGTAACGGCACAGCCGTGTCACTAAAAGCTGCGTAGTGTAGCCATAGCCTAAGCTGGAAAACTCGTCTCTCCCCAACAGAAGTTGGTCCAATAAAAGAATATTTAAAAAATAAACGATACAGAAAATTTGAAGCGTCAGTTATTGGTCATTGGGGGTAGCATACAGAGTATAGGGGTATGTTGGCGTTTTGGGGTTGGGCAGCACACATAGTATATACAGACTGCAATGTCCCCAATGAGAGGTGGGTAACCGGTGGGCGGGATCAGGAAACAGTCGATAAGCGGTGAGGGTCTATCACCCATACAGGAAGTAGAGACAGTCATGGGTATAAGTAAGTGGGCTGGGTAATGGGGATGGGGTGACCCTCACGTGGTACCCTTGCACTTTGTGTCAGGCTACCAAAGCAGAAAGCTCTCCTTATGCAGGAAAAGTCCCCTTCCACCTATTCCTAACTTAGCAGGCTCTTTCCACTTAAGCCCCTAAATAAGGGCCAAATTTGCAGAAATGCTCAGCACCTAGATACTACAATGGGAGCTGCTGGGTGCGGAGTATGTCTGGAAATATGGCCCCAATTTTGAGTGTTGGCCATTTGAACAAACAAAGCTCTGCATTCACAGGTCTCCCCCGAGGGAGAGGATGAGAAAGAACAGACCACACATGAGAGAGGTTAGTCACAGCACTTAATGCAATAATGGGAGGTGCCCAGATACTATGGTGAGGAGGAACAGATCAAAACAAACTAGAACCAGCCCCAGATGGCTTATCCCCCATGTTCCCTCTCCTCCCCAGAGATGCGTGATTAACACTCTTGCACACATAAAGTAGTTTAAAAGCATCAGCCCTCTTCTCATAATCTCATAAGGCCAGAAGGGACCATCATGATCATCTAGTCTGACCTCCTGTTGGCTTAACTAGGTTAGTAACACAGAGAAGGGGAAGAGGAGAATCAAAATGTGCCTAATGGAATGGCACAGAATTGGAAGGAAGAAGAATTCAATTTTCCAGCAACTGAATGGCAGGGAGGACCCAGCCTAACTCACGTGCCCAAATCAGCCAGGAGCCTGAGAAATACGAGTGAGGGAAGATCAAGACAGATTATTTAGGACTTGTCTACATGGGAGGTGATTTCTGATCGACTCCATATGCTGATACTATCTGAATCAGCAATGGATTAAGCTCTGATTCAGAATACAGCAGTCTTACTCTCATTCTGCAGGGGTTCTCACAACAAATTTTGCCGCTCTGACAATTTTTCCTAAAATACTTAATTAACTTTAGGAAAGACAAATGAATACGCACATAGACATGTCCAAATCATCGTAATTTATTTATGTAGGATTTGGGGGTTTTTTTGCAGGCTCAATAATAAAAATAATGTACAGTTGTCTCTATTCTTTACTGGACCTAAACAAAACAGAAACACAAATAAGGTGCTTTGCACGTTCTTGTCTTTTTTCTTATTGTTTCTTTTGCTTGTTTGGTGGCTTTTTTTAAAGACTTGCAGATACTAAGTCTGCTGTGAAAAGTGATATTAACAAACACACAAATACAACTCTTCACAGCAGACTTACTCAGCCCTGGCAATCCCAGGGACAATTTGAGCCCTGGATGGGGAGCTGGGTACACAGGCAGCGGGAGCCAGGGGCAATGCGGCACTAGGGGAGGCAGTGGGGGCCAGAGGTGATGGGAGGAGTGGCGAGCTCGGGGAACAGAGCCCAAAGTCCTGTGGCTGGCCTGCCACCCCAGGGTTAAAGCCCAACTCCACCGCCTCGGGAAGGTGGGAAACTCATTAACTCCCTGCTCCTCCAGCTTTTGTGTCTCCAGAGAGGGGCCACTGTTTTGCCCCCCCACACCAATAACCACCCAGAAGGCTGTGGCCGCAAGAAAAGCCCCTGGTGGCCGCATTTGAGAAACGCTGTTCTGAAGTATTCACACATGGCGTTAATCAGGGGAACAGTTAATCCATTTGAAATCAATACCCTACTTTATTCCAGAATAATTTTCAAGACGTTAGAAGAGGCAAGACAGGAGGGGGGACCTTCCGTATCACTGCGCACAGCCAATCT